TGCCCACCCCTGGTTTACATGGCTGGCCCCAAAGGGTGAGTAGGGATGGGGCATGTAAACTGTCCCTGAAACACTCTGTCATTCATGATGGGCAATTGGCTAGTATTTTTAGAAGTGCAGTGTCTGGAATACCACCCCCATAAAGTTTTTTGGGAAGGCGTGATCCTATACAAAGGGGAGGTATGGAAAACAGAACCTCATACTATTTCATCAAGGAGAAACATGAAGAACTAGCATCTGAATGCAACAATCAATAAAATACAAATAGTATTTTTTTTAATCCAGTTTCGAAGGGACCATCTTCCTTTTCCTGCTGTTCTTTTGAATGTTTTCTTTCAAATTTCCTTATATTGCTTGCTTTGTATTTCTACCTTTCCTTCCTCCCAATGAAGATTCCCAGTGGTGCTGTCAGTGGCATGTCTGCTTCATCACTTGCCTTTCAGTTTTTTTTCTCTCTCTCTCCTTCTTTGCATCCTAAATATACAGTATTATTCATTAACCCCTTTTCTGATTCCTTACAGTATCTGTTAGGAACCTTTCTGCCTTGGTTTCAGAGAAAATGGACAGTGTGGGCATTATCTTCCATGCAAATATTTGTTAGAGGTGCACCGATATATCGGTTGCCTATTGGATTGGCACCAGTAAAAGGGGAAGTTTACTAGAGAGGTACTGATACATTGGTCCATATCATATTGGCACTGATAAAAGGAAAATTGACATTATCGGCAATCGGCTTTTTTTGGTTGATGTAGCTGATAATGTCGCTGATTGCTGCTGCGTGCATGCGTGCCGCCATGGGAAGGGCTGGAGGGGAGGGAAGGGACATCGGGGGGGTGGAGATTGAGGTCCCCACAGTGAGGGAGGGACTGGGGCTGGGGCATGTGCTGCCCAGCTGGGGTGGGGCACAGGGTGGAGCTGCGAGTGGCTCGTTTGGGGGGCACAGGGGGGAAGGTGGCTCCACCACTGGCTCCAGCCCACAACATCAGCCTGCCTTTGCCCCATGCGCAGGGTACGTGCGCAGCAGCAGGAGCCACTGTGTACCCCCTGGCTGAGACCTGGCTGGGTAGTGCCTACCTCTGCCACAGCCCCACTGTCGTCTTCATGATGGGGGGGGCTCAATCTGGCCCCCCACACCCCTTCCCTTCCCTCTTGCCTCCCCCCCCCCAACAGACTTAACAGCTGAAGGCTGCTCTTCAAGCTGCTGGGCTGCATATCAGCTATCAGATCAGTATCAGCCAATATGGCTTTTTTTTTAAGGGGGGGGGGGGGGGGG